CGCGGCCCCGCGCATCAAAGTGGGCAGAGCGAACTGATTTACGAGGCAGGTAGATCGCGATAATTTCAGATGGGCACAGGAGCTTGTGGCGTCTTAGGTTTCCTGTTCATTAGGGGGAAGTCTGCGAGCGCCGTGTGCCTCTGAAGGGAAACTTTTCCCCCCTTCCCAGTGGATACACATGGTAAAAACCTGGATAGTATAAAAGTATCTGAACTTATTAGAAATTACAAAAACATATTTTATTGAATCCATATGCTACCTTCTACTTTTTCAGAGAGGCTTTATTAATGATTGAAATGCAGTCCTAAAACAGCACAAAGCAACATTTGTCTTAAGAGAGTCCAGTCAGAGATTTTCTTTTTTATCTTACAGGTGCACTGAAATAACAGCAAAAACTAGTTAATCGCAGTGAGGTTTACCCTCCTGTTTATTCAGAAATAAGAGAGATAGCTTTTTTGCTTTCCAGTAACGACTTTTAATTAATCTTTTTTTAGAACAGCAGCAAATCCTGCATAAACTGGAGTGGCCTTCAGATTTGTAATATAAAGAAGTACACCTTTCATTAGCTTGCAATAAACTCGTTATGACATTTCTTTTTGGCCACAAGAATGAACTTTTTAGATAAAAGGCATGCCAAACGTATGGTGAATTAAGAAGTGTATTTTTATGTTAGGATCCATACATCAGCTAACTATTCCATTTTCCCCATAGAATGATCCTAATTGTGAATGTATTTTTTTTTTTAGAAAGTACCTTGTACATTCGTTTCTGCTTTCAATAAAGAAGTTTTACTATACCTTTCAAACACAGAGTAATTCTTGCACTTCACCTTTAGTAAGTTGCAGACAGGAAGTCCCGTCTCAATAAAGACCATATTGTTTGGTTATAGCATGGCACATTGGGTTTTATAACTGCATCCTTGTAGTGTTATAATTGTATCACCGTGGATTTAACTTTATAATTTGCTGATATATAAATGGCACACCATTTGCTGCTGTCTGTTAAAATCTCACTGACAATTTACGTTTCTGTCGGTATTGGTCTTCCTGGATAAGAGATGGCATTTGCACATCTCCAGAAATATATTTTTAGTTAACATCTCTAACGGGCTTTAACTGCGTGTACTGCTAAAATAAAAAGTCTCAAAACAAAATGATTTACTGTCTAACAATAAAGTTGAAATGCTGTGGTAATGGTTGTACTCCCAAAGCGTATCTCAAAACATACGAAGCATTGTTCAAGGCAATGCGCTTTAAAAATCTGTTTTGACATATCGAATGGACCATTTCATGGCTATGTAACTATAATCATCAGAAAGGACTCTATAGGCTGAAAGGAGGAACGAGAGAAATCCCATGAACTGGTTACTTTTCCTGTAGAATCTTTCCCAAGTCTGTTTCATATTAAAAATGACCTCTCTCTTTCTGTGTTCAGGCGGATGTTTCCCGCAATGAGAGTGAAGATCTCAGGTTTAGACCCACATCAGCAGTATTATATTGCTATGGATATTGTGCCAGTGGATAACAAAAGATACAGGTATGGTGACTTTAAGGCACAGAACTTACGATGCAAGCATTAGGGATCTTGGCTTTTGGAAGAAAATATTAACAGCATATACATTAGCAGAAGGTAGCATTTAACTCTCCTTCAGATTTCTGTTTTCGCCCCAGCACAGTTAAAAGAAAAAGCGTTCTGCCAAGTATGCAAAAAACAACTGCAGTTTTATTGAAGTTCTTTATACATTTGGCTGACGTTGTATATGTACTGAAGGCAAATAATCAGTGTTTTGCTTTCACAGACTGCAGTTTTAGTCTAGTCCAAGAGATGTTGTTATCAGATGTTATTCCTTATTAGTGGCTTAAATCTACTTCATGTCAGTGGGAATTATTTCCTATTAACAAACAAATATGAAAATATACATTTTTCTAGAGCCAAATGCTATTAAACTTAACATGAATAACATTAATAGTGTTAATAGCATTAATGTCTAATTAAAAGGCATTAGAATATAATCCATACACACTTTCTTGGTTTTACTTCAAATTGATTATTTAATTTATTTTAATAGCTGTTTATCGTTCAGATATTCACTAGCAGGTTGCTTGGATTCAGATAGGATAATATTTCCATGTACTATTTTTTTGATGAAGTAATGGCATTTTCTGAAGAATCATGTGAGGAAGGGAAACTGGATGTTCTTTGAGCATTTGAGAGTAGGAAGTATGTGCTTAAACTCTTGTTGCAAGGACAGTCCTGTTTCTAGGGAGCTAGCTGGACCCTGTCGAAGCTGCAGTTCTGTAGCAATATTTGCAGGATTGGGCCCACAGAAATTATTGTTACGAGTTGTAGGCATTTTGTAGATCTTGCTTTGCAAACGTGGTCCCATTCTCCGTAGAAGCCAGGAGGACCTTTGCCAAGTAGTTCAATGGAGACAGGATTGGGTCCTCACCAATCGCTGTTTTGATTATTTCAACCCTATACTTAGCATAATTTACGGAAAACCGCTGCAGATTTAATTGTAGAAATAGAAACATTTCAGATGAAGACTGAAAGATTGGTTCCTCAGGAATGCTTCCATGTTTCCTGGACAAACACTGCCCTGTGTCTTTTGCGTGCCCTTACTTCATTGACTATAATTTTGTCCTTTTCTAATGCGGTACAGAAGACTTTTTTTTATTTTACAACAAGGTAAAGATATAAATGCTGAGGACATACAGTACACGGCATCAGGGGAGGTGTTTTTTTTGTCTGTGCCGTAGGGAAAACATGGATTTTTTTTTTTTTGAACCTGTGCAGTTCAGTTAAAATGGAAAGTCCTTGTGTTGGTTTGTGTTGCATTTACTTAGCAATCTAAGCATGTCATTCCTAGAAGGTCTGAACAATTTCTTAATTCATGCGAAAAGCAAGGTAAATGTTCCAAACTGAACAAAAATGTTAGTAATAAAAATGGCAATAATATTTAGTATGAAACAGAGTTTCATTTAAAATAAATGCATTCATATTATTCTGTGCCGTCCACCCTGTGTTGTACGGTGGCCCCCAAGTAACTGAAGTAACTTAACAAAAGTTGTTATATGTAGGGCGATATTTTCATAGTTGGTAAACTTAAAGGAAAGGTATGATTATAGGAATTTATTCTTGCTAAATGTTGATATTTTACTTGATTTCCCTTTTCAATGTTTGTACCGCAATCGCCACATTCTTTTGTTACTGACTGTTACTTAAATTTACCGTTTATGCGGCTTTGCACACTGACTGTCCTGCAGGTCTTTATATGTGAAAGATACAGTAGAAGTCATATATTGAGCCTAATCTTTTGTTGCCGTAGCAGATAACAAACCTAAATGGAAATGAAGAAAAATTAGATCTAGATTTCTAGCAAAATTAGGACCTTCTTGTAAATTTCTGGAAGCTTCAGCTTTTGTTTTGAAGCACATGAACTATGTTTATGAAGTTATTTACTTTGGTAGGAAAAGGACACATTTCGTGTAAAAACAAGAAATATAAAATAAATGAAAAATATTAAAACAGCCGGCTGTATGGTTTAGGGTTGAGAACTTGTCTCCAGGAAAAGACTTTACCGCAGTTCTAGATCTTAGTTTTACAGTTTGGTATGAATTGCACGAAGCCTTGCATGTTTTGGATCGTTTTATTTTCATTTCTGGTTGTTGTTTGTCATTTTCTAATTTTCTCTTAAGGAACTGAATTGTACAAACGTATGATTTGATAGTCTTTCATGTTTTTATTAAAAAATACAGCTGATTTTCAGGAATTTTACTGTACTTGAAAGAAAAAATACCTTGGCATTTTTAGTTAGTCCTTTTTAAATTGTCCCATGAAGTATCTGCCGTAAGAAGTTGTTTTCTACTGAAGTAGGCACTACTTTTATTAGAAAATGACTTTGTCAGCATTGGCCTATCAAATGAAATACGGGCTACGTTTTCATTTTTAAGCCTTTCTGCAGTACTATTCAGGACAATTAATCCGGTCTTGCAGAAACAGCAAGAAGATAGTTTGACGTAGTTTCATTATTTTCCCCAATCATAATCTATGCTTTCCCTTCAGCAGCTTTATTCATAGACTCTTATGTAAGAGTCAGCCTGTTAAATCTTCCCAATACAGAATTATTACTTGATCTGATAAATTAAGAACCAGCTCTGCATGTGTGCTAATGCCTGTGCAGAGCAGAGCTGCAGCGCTCACTGAACTTAAGCCAGATTAAAGCTGAGCGTGCAGATCAGTGTAAAGACTGTTACTGATTTTAACAAGACTAAGGTCAGATGAGAGCGTGGTTTTTAGCCTGCCTTTTTTAGTCACCAGAACTGATGTTTTGGAACTTAAAAAATAACTTCTCTTTCTTATCTTTTCATGTTTTTAACAGATGGGTTCTTGCTATAGGCATAGGTCCTAATATAGTAATACTGAGTGGCTGCATACATTATGCTGAGTTTTGTTGTTACAGACACTTATTTTCTCTTTGTAGGTACGTTTATCATAGCTCCAAATGGATGGTGGCTGGCAATGCCGACTCGCCGGTACCACCTCGTGTTTATATTCACCCCGATTCGCCCGCCTCGGGGGAGACGTGGATGAGGCAAGTGATCAGCTTCGACAAACTGAAGCTTACCAACAACGAGCTCGATGATCAAGGGCATGTGAGTACTCCTTCTTCTGCGGTACCGTACGCAGGCGTGTTGCTCGGCCCTGCGACGCTGACATACGGCCTCAGGGTGCCAGAAATCGGCTTGACTTTCCAAAGCTGTTCTGGAACTTTTACTGTCCAGATCTAAAATCTGCTTACTTTCTAGCCTGATAATTAACTGCTTATTAGAGCATGCTGTTTTACTCCCCCCTCGAAATCCTGCAAAGTCAGACTTTACAAGGCTAAACGGCCTAGTATGAGGGGACAGAATTGCTCTCGTGCTTTCCCACCAAGTGTGTTACTCACGACTTCTGCGCTAATCAAAAAGTATGTTTAAACTCGCAAGTGGCTAGAAGAAACATTAATAGCGTGTAATAACTTCATGTGAGTAAAAATACACTTAACTATTTTCTTAACCTAAACATTTGTGTGAAATCCCATGAGGTGTTAATAATTGCAGTCAAAAACGAACAACATGGGAGCTGGGTTCGCTCCGATAATGATTTATTACATACCTTATGAAGCAAGACCCTTTCACAGCTGAGGCTCATTACTTCTGAAGGAACTGGCGAAGACGTATGCAGTCTGAGTGTTCTGTTTGCAAGTTCTAAATTGTTTAGTTATGACATTATCTAATGTGACAAAACGTGTTATGTTAATATTTCCTTTTCTCTTCAAAACTGTTGAAACGTGACAGATGTAAGCCAGTGTCTTTCCAGCAATCCTTAGAATAGTTTTACTTGACACCTTAGGAAATAATTAAAAAGCAAGAATTGTTTTTAGTCAGGGTGAAGCCTTTCGTTTTGTAAAATTCAGTAATAAACGGCAGATTTTGGCTTGCTTTCAAAAGGAGCGTTGAATTCCAAGTGGTGGAGTTTTAAGATGTGAGAGGCGAATTTTGAGAAAGGATGTGGAATCCCTTTAACCTTAACATAGCCCAATTTATTAAGCAAGAGACTTTCTCTTTTGCTGCAAGAAGTGAGAGAAAACGTACCTGCCGTGCGGTATAAAGATACTACGTGCATCTTTCAGAGTATTTGTAACTCTGTGACATTAAGCCGGGTATTTTGTCAAACTTATTCCAAGTTACAAGCATGAGGTTTTTTTCCTGTGCGTTTGCAAAGGAGATTAATTCAGGATCGTGGTCAAATTGTGCGGGCGTTAAGACATTTATGTTACAGACGTAGGATGCAGGAGGCGGTCTGGACCGAGCTGGTGAACGCGATAACCAGGATGGAGCAGCTCCCTTTCGTATAATACTGTTCATAATTTCATCACATTTCCCCTTAAGCAGAACGTGGGGTTATTCGTGTCTTTTGAATTACCGATGCTTCTGTTTAGGATTGTAAAAAAGGACATTTTACGTTGTTTATGTCCAGAATTGCAGTTTTGGGATCTGGTTTGGCATGTTCATTTGCGTAAATATTAGCACAGGTAGTTCCCTTAGTTTCCCCAGTACTTGAGTATTTGTGACTTTTGTTGAGCAGGAGTTGCATTTGCTGAGTCCTGAGTTTATCGTAAAGGCTTTAAAAAGTGAAGCAGATGCAACTGGGTGAAATGCCGCTTCTCCAATGGAGAGCGCGCCAGCTGGTTTTTGTACTCGTTTCAGAGGGGCGATATGTGGACGCAGTGGTCCACCCATGCACTTGCAGTCACGGACTGCCCTGTGATAAAATCTTGGATATGCAGAGAAGTGTATTACTCTCTTTTTCCATCCCAGATCTCAGCTTTGTTTTTATTCTGAACTGAAACCTGTGTAGCGTACACGGCACGCCATTATTCATAATGTGGAGGAATATAAATTTTCTGGTCTTTAGTTAAGTGTTTCTGTTTGGAAACTAGTGAAGTAGAGCTCTAGTGCAGTGATTTGGGACACATTGAACTGATTCAGAGCTGCAGCAGCGCCCCTCCTCCCCAAAATGGAAATTCAAGTATTAAAAGGACAAAAGAAGGATGACTGTAAAATAATTTCATATTTCTCAGATCTGGGAAATTGCAAACATGTCATTCATAATTACCAGAAAGGGCAAAAGCAGAAAGCAGAAAAGTGTCTCTTCCAATGGGTACATTTTTTCTTTTAAAGCTATGGTAGTGTGGAATGCTGTATTGAAAAAGCTATGTAGCCTCTGAATGCCTCTAGCAATAATGGAAAACGAATAATCATATTTTGTGATGAATATAAAAAACAATTGTTTTTCATAAGCAGGAAGGAACCATTTTTCTCAATAGGGTACCAGGGGAGGGATGGTAGATTAGAAGATCTAGGGGTCAAGGCCATATCATCCCTAGAATATTTATTTTTATGGCGATGGCGTATATTTTAGGTTATTAGAAAGCTTTTTTTCTTCTCTACGTCTCCCCCCCCCCCCCCCACACACACATTTAGGAGAAATGGCTCAGAGAAAGAGAGAAAACTCCTTGAGGTCTCTACGGCCTGCCTTCATTCCTCTGGTAGTTTAATCAAAGTTGGGATTTCGCTGTTTTTCTTTGGATATGCTTTCCATGCTGTGTCTGATTCTGGGGCTGTAACCTTTGTTGCAATTGCTTCTTTGTTCTTTCTGTTCTCTTCAGAGGTGACGGCTTTTGTGGAGTTTCCATGTTCAAATTCGAGGGCTAGGTTTTGTTCTTGCACGTGGGATTTTAACTGAGTTTTGGAGAGTTGGAATGAGATCGATCCAGAGCCCTTTTATCTCTCCCAGAGTATTAACTCTCAGAGTCATTAAAAGAAGCGACTCATGTTTGTGGGAACGGGGGCTACATTCGCAAACAGAGGAAGAGGTTGTATTTCTATGCAGTGTTTGTATTATGGGAGTAATTAACGGCAGCTAGCTCCCATTGCGTTGCTTTGGGCCCTGCGGTAAATGGCTGCGCTGGCCTGGGGTAGCTTCTTGTTAAAGGAGATCGGCCATCTCTAGGACAACTTACTTTGCCACTCAAACACTTTCTGGACCTCTCGCTTGCCTGCTGCTATTTTCATCAACGTCTCGAGTGGAAGTTTTTGACCAAGTGATAGTACGGTGCTGTTCTGTGGAGAGGTTTGGCAGGCGGTACGTCCGCACGTAGGACGCTCTGAGACATGGGTTCCACTGGCAGACTGAGAAGATGAAGCGCAATTAGTAAGGGTATATTTTCCCTGTGTATTTTTGTTCTCAAAAGGAAGTCTCAAGAGTGAATGCCCTACTGTGGAAGGGTAGGGTGTCTACGGAGACATTAAGGCCTGATGACAACTTTTAAGACGTGTACTGTGGCATTTGTGCCTCTCATCTGAGCTGTTACGATAAAGGAAGGTAAATCTGTATTTTGCAGCTGACGCTGAGAAGTGCGTGCTCTTGACATCCTTTGTTTCATATGTTAATGCCTCTCATCTTCAGTTTATGGAATAAGCACTGCATTGTAAAAGCATTCTCTCGGTCTGATTAGAGGTGTGTGTTTTTTTGATTGTGATGCTGTTTTGTGTCTGAATTTCAATAGAGGGGAAAAGTCAATATTTCATGCTATTTTCTGTGCTTTTCAACTAGATATTTTTTGATGCACAGATATTTTTTGATGGTCTTTTTAACTTTTAGTGAAAATGAGATGGTTATTGTCTTAATTGTTTCTTGGGGGCGTTTTTTGGTTTTTTGTTTTTTGTTTTTTTCTTTCGTTTCCCCATTTGAAAGTGGTGTTAGGCTGGAAGCAGAGGCGGGCTGTTACGCTACCCAGATTGGGCTCAAAGTAGTAAGCTCTGCTTCCAGTCAGTGGGTAGTTATATGTTCTTGTCACAAGGAAAAGCTGGAAAACATCAGCATTTGCACTTGCAATTTTGGTCTTTGTGAAGAGAGGATTCATGCTCCCTGGCTCCTGGCACTTCTCTCCCTGCGGAAAGGCTGATTACATGGGCTTTGCAGAGGGAGTAAAGGGAGATTTTTGGAGAAAACAGCAAGGTGAGGACCTTGCCACTGGTGGAGAAGTGGCTGCATAATCTACGTGCCCTTCAGGCAGCTGCAGGGCAGGAGGATCGGGATGTCTTTTGTGCTGGCTGTGACTCTTGTATCACAGCGGTACCTAAGGTCACTGTCAGGACGGAGGCCTCGCCGTGGCAGCCTCTTTCACAACACATATTGCGAAGAGAATTCCTGCCAGAAAGAGCTTTGTGTGTTTGTAGATGCTTTGGTCAGTATTTTACACTGCCACCGCCTTGCTGCAGCTCCCTCTTCTCAGCCCCCGCGCACCCTTGGGTGGCTCAGGAGCTTCTTCCTTGGACAGAGGCTGCCTTTGCTCTTCAGAGCTGCTGCCTCGTCCCGCTGACCCTCAGCCTCCATACTGCAGGGTTTTCTGCTTAATAATGGTGTCGTGACAGCTATCATGGCCAAAATGTAGTAACTCTGATAGTTTACTTTTTGGGGGAGATATTTATCCCCCCACGACGAGACGATGTGGTGCTGATGGGCACCGTCCCGTTTCTTTCTTGCTCGGTACCGCTGTGCTGCTGGCTCGCACACCACGGGCAGAAGGCGAGGGGCCCCAACGTGACAGTGCGGTGCCTGAAGCATCGGGGAGGGCGGGTAGTACATGCTGAAAAGCAAAAGGAAAGTTTGGCTTGAATAGATTTTGGAGAGCGTGGTTGTTTTATAGCGTTATTGTAGTGAGAGGTCAGTGATTTTGCTAGGAGCAGGTCGGCATCTGACTGAGGAGACTGCTGCCAAAACACTTTGATTTTCAGTGCCGAAACCAAGGTGGAGCGCCGCTGGTGGCTGGCTCTGCGTGCGAGTTTCAGTGGAGCCGTGTGAGGCGTACGCGTGGTTTGGTCGTACGGGTGAGGGATCTTTAGAAAGAGCAAGGTGCTTAAAGTGAGTCGAAAGTAATGTCAGCCCCTGCTTGGCGTTCGGTGGGGCCTGCACTGGCCAGGGTGGTTTGTTGCTGTTTTTTTTAAGGGTACGAAGGGAAAGTTGCTACTTCTGCAGATAAACTGTTAAATGTTGTTTGTGCAATTAAATGCACAAACGAGATGAAGAGCAGGGGTCTTGTTTCCCTTAGCCTTTCTGTGACGGTAACTTCAGGTGAGGCTTTTAATAGAGGTAAAAAATGTTCAGGGTGAGTGTTGCATCTCCCTCTCATTTTGTGTGCTGTTTGCATGGTATTGCTCTCTGCCTCTGCAGGGCCCTGCAGTTATGTGCTGTGTAGTTAGAGTTCAGAACCCAGCCATTAACAAAAGATCCCACTGAAAAGGCACCGTACAAAATTAAGAAAAAATATTCCTCGCTGCGGATCGCTAATAGTCGAACAATGCGTCAACATCAGGAAATATCAGTATAGCGCAGAGCCAGACCAGGTTCCTTTTAAGAGCTAACTAGGGCCGGGTTAGCTCTAACAGCCGCGCGGATGAGGAGTGGGCAGCACTCATCTCCGTGCTGCTGTGACTTCACCCATTCTCCTGCACGAGCACAATTTTTCAGAGCTGCCTGGCTTGTCAGTGTCTACAGTCAGGTCTGCAGCGTAACCGAGGAGTCACCTGCACCGCAAAACTGGCGGGGAAGCTAATGCGAGTGGGAGCAGGGCACAGCATGCTCTGCTGTACTGAGACAAGCGGCAAGGCCCAGAGCGGTGACGGGGACGTGAACCACGGCATACAGCTTTCTGCGATCATTTGTTCTGCTGCGCTGGTACCTCCCCTCGTATCACAGGGTGTTTACAGGAAAGCAGGCTCAGGAATGTGCTGTCCTCTCTGCGTTTGGGCTTTTCGAGATCTTTGCCGACAGAGGACTGAAAGGCTTGTGCAAAAGGGAACACGCGTTTGCGTGTAAAAAAGATCTTGCGCCCTGCAAGACTGCAGAGACTGGGAAAAGGCCTCACATGAGAACATCCGCAGGGCGCGCCTTGAGCGAGTTTATTGGGGCCTGTGATGTCATTGTCAAAGCCCCACTTACAGGCTAATAAAAACCCTGACTCTCCAGAAACTTGGCTTTTCCAAAATAGGGTCATGTCGTCTGGCCAGAACTAAGTGTATTCAACGAGTCAAACTCCAGTTTATCCAAACGAATGTAACGTCCTCTGCGCCGTGTGGGTGAAGGAGCTTGCGTGGTCTCGGGCGTTCAGGCGTGAGGGCTCTGTGAAGCGCCTGAGCACATCCGCCTTCTGAGGCTACGCGAGGAGCAGGAAATTAAAAAACTTCCCCTGAATTTTGATTAGCGTTTCCACAGGCCAATAGCTGTAGGCCTATTTATTTATTCAGTTACTAATTTATTGGACCCTCCAAAAAAAATAGCCGAGCTTCCAGTTATTTTTTTTTTTCTTGAAATCTTCTATTTTAGAAGCGTTTAACTGAAGTGGAGTAGAGTAAAATACAGGAAAAAGGTTGCATTTTAAGTCCCTTCTAAAATTTGGGAGCAATACCAAAAAACATTTTTGTATTTAATTTTCTGCACTGTGGGTTCATACAGTTCTTGTAGGCTTGTCCTTTATACTTGGCTTTTGTATGTTGTGAGAGGATTGTGTATTGATTTTCGTTTTGTCTGTGTACATATTATAAACTTAGGGTTATTATCGTTTTGGAGTTTCTGGATTTTGGGGTTATTTTACTCAAAGTTTCAGCTCCTTCGGAGTGTGAGAGTCTCAGCTTGTGTTCAAAACAAAATATGCTTCCAGCCTTCAGGTTATCGGGAAAAAAACAGCTTCAAGCGTATCCTGAAGGTTCTGAAAACAAAAGGCAAATACTGCTGTTGTTAATCTCGGTAGATCAAATCCAGACTCAAGTGAAAAAAACAACAAAACTTTCCTAATTGCAGTGGGACCAGGACTTCACCCCTGATTTTGTTAAGCCAGTCTCCTGAATTTGAGGCTCCCGAGTCGTAATTCTTAAATGCTTAGGCTTGGCAATAGCGTAAATGCACAGGGATTAGACTACTGTAATAAGAACCTTCAGAGGTTAAAGAAAACATTTCATTTCCAGTAAATGGCATGGTAAACACATGCCATAATCTGTTCCAAAAAGCTATTAGTCCTTAAACAGCAGGGTGTCCTTTCTAATAAATGTTATCTTTTTCCTTTCATTTTGATTGCATAGATTATCCTGCACTCTATGCATAAATATCAGCCTCGTGTCCACGTCATCCGTAAGGACTGTGGAGATGATCTGTCCCCCGTCAAGCCTATACCTTCAGGAGAAGGAGTCAAAGCCTTCTCCTTTCCAGAGACAGTTTTCACTACCGTCACAGCGTACCAAAATCAACAGGTAACGTGGGCTTTCCACTTAGAAGTTTACACGCTTCTCAGAGTAGGCTGGAGAAGTACAGGATAGGAGAAAAGGCGATTCTTTTATTACAGCACTTAGTAAAAATGCATTGACTAAACCCTTTTAATATTTAATAGCTTTCGCTAGTAGCATTGCAGCAACGCCTGGAGGCTATAGCTGAGACTTCAGGCTGCGTGAACTACGTGGCAAATATAAAAAGTAATTCCTGCCATGAAGACCTCACTGTCTAAGCAGACAACATCCTTAATAGCGTCTTCATTACAAGTGCAGCACTGACGCATAAGGCAAAGAGGGGTCTAGTTTTTAGAGGTATTTTTGTGCCTTCAAATGTAGATAAACGTCCAGATAGATTTTGAAAGCCCATTTGGGCCTGACTCCAATAATTTCAAAACTTTTTCTGAAAAAGGTATCCTAGGATCTTAAAGGAGAGGCGGAGGCCCAGAGGAAGTTGCAGTCATTTTCATTAACTGCATTCATTATTCGTTCTTAATTGCAATTTATGTGGGTCCGTGCAGTCAGCTTCAGAGTCAAAAATAAACTGCAGATTGCCTGACTCCAGTGTTTGGCTCTCACTTACCACTTGTGTAAATGTTAACACTAATAGTGACACTATATTTAGTGTGGTGACATTTTATTAATTCCACATATGTTATTTCCACTATATTTTGGGAAATGATATGCACTTTGTTATCTTCACAGTGAGAAGACATTTAATGGGGAATGCACATTCAGAGCTGGAGAGTATGTAAATAATGAAATATAATTATTTGGTACCTGCTCCATTTATTTAAATAAATTGCAAATATTTTATATTCTTTTTCTAGTTTTTATAGAGGATAATGGCCTGCAGGTAATCTTCTTTTCACATTCCCCTCTTGACCCATATAGAAATAAAATTACATTTCAATGATATCGCAGTTAGGCAATGTGTACTCTCTTAGGTGAAGAATGACTTTTGCCAGAATTGCAACCTGCCTCTTGGTGGCATAAATACCTCTTAGCTTCTCTGGGAATCTGTGAAAACAATGATCACGAGGCTGGGCCTTATTTTGCTGTGTTTCAAGAAAACCGGCTTAAACCATGCAAATGGAAAGATGTTTATGCTTTAAGTGGAAGAAGATATAAAATTTCTCTGTCGGCTTAGGTCTGTCGGGAGAGCCATATTTTGTGCTACTTAACTCAATTTGCCGAACTCTCACCGTCTCTCTTTAATCATCTTCACAGATAACTCGCCTGAAGATTGACAGAAATCCATTTGCCAAAGGATTTAGAGATTCAGGACGTAACAGGTGGGTGCTGGGGAAGGAGAGAGGCTTCTTAATGCTGAGAGAATCCATTTTTGAAGGCTGTTAGCGGATATCCTTCCTACCAAGGGGGAATAGCTGTATTTACAGACAAGTTAGCAGCAATTCAGCTGGCCAGAAAGAGAGGCTGCACTTGAAATCTCCTCTTTCTGCTGGCCAGAGACACAAATTGCAGATACCGGTATGAAACTACAGCCCCAGACTCTCTTGCGCTTAAAGGGCATTTAGGGTGGATGAATGGCTCATTGTTTTCTCTTAGAAGGGGAGAAGCTAAGTCCCTCATGCAGTAGCTGGATGGTTAATACGCTTGCCCTAGGAGATGGGAGGCCTATGTTCAAGTGTCTCTTCAGCCTAAAGCGTTGTAGATCCACAATATGCAATTCCTAGGTGAGTGTCTTTCCTACTAGGCTATAGATGACCTTGAAATGGGCCCGTTTTCCATCTCTTATGTTGCAGTTGGACTGACGAATAGCTTGTTCTCGCTTGGTCCATGAACCTTTCAAAACAGCAGTAGGGAATCTGAGTACTGCAAAGTGGAGACTTGGGTCTAGTCCGTGCTGCCAGTACTCACGAGGTATTTTATCCAAAGGCTGTTTAATGCAAAATACTTAAGCCGGTTATGAATTGTATGCTAAAGCATTTCAGCTAAAAAAAGAAGCGTTTAATTGTGGTGGCATAGTATACATCCGTTCCAGTGACCGCTTTGCGTTTGGTTTCTACAGCTGCTATATTTATGACCTAACTTTCCAGAGAAGGAAGCAAACTGTGTGCCGGTAGGAGTTTTCAGAGAGGCTCTTTTGCTAGCTGGTTTATTGAGCTTTTCTTCTAGCGGAGGCTAAAGCATTAAAAAAAATGTTGTTTCCGCCTGAATTACAAAAAGGCTGAGATTGCCCAGCAAGGTATAATATTTTTTTATGCAAGGTATTAGAAGAGTGGGAGAGGAACACTTATAGAAGGGGTGGGGTGCTTGTAAAGATTGCCTGGAATCAACTGAAAGTATCTTTTCGGTTTGCACTCCAGGTTTGCTAATTTCTGAAATTTACATCTTCCAGCGAGAAACAGTTGGCCACGTTCTGTGCTTCGGCCTGGAAGTAAAGGCCCGTCCACAGACAGAAATAAGAGTTTCATCCTCCTTTGTAGCCTTCTATTTTGAAACTCAGCGAACGTTAACTTCCAGATAAATCCAGGCTGAAGAAACAAAGCATGCTATGTACACTTGGGGAAGAAAAAAATTGCCACACATGCCCTATTTGACAACTCCCCGCAGACAGTGTCTCTGCTATGCATGCTCATTGCAGAGTTATAAAATAAATACTGAGAGAGCCTTCAAAGAAATGTGTAGGTGAAATCCTGGCTCCACTGAGATTTCTGACTCCAAGTGACGTTAGAGTTTCCTACATAATGTTCTGCAAAAGAAGAGAAGATGCTCTGGAAAACAGAGGGGAAAGGATTGTTGTAAAATCATTCTTGACCTAGATTTACCTGTCTAAACACCACTGATTTTGTCTGAACACTAGGTAGAGACCATAAGACTACTGCATCTGCAGCCATGCAGACCCGGTTGTAGAAATGGGGCTATAGAGAGATTTTTTTTTTTTTTTGGTTTAGCTCCTAAGAGTAAATTTGGTTTGGGCCTTAAAAAAGGCATGATGTTTGAACTGAAAGCCAGTTATAGTTTACAGAAATGGATTAAGAGATCATTCCTGTAGAAAGGACTTCTATATAAAAGTATCTGGATAGGCTTTAGAAAAGTCTAAATGCTTTACTGTAACAAATACAAATGCTACAGAAGTGATTCTGCATATTTTTATCTGCAGCAAATAAACATTAGTTTATTAAAATAAATATTCCTGTTTTGTTTTATAAGCTCTGAGGTACAGAATAAATACGTTTGTGAATGGAGCTCAGATTTTTAATTCTGCAGGAAGATTTCTTTTTTAAGTTAAGTTACTAGTTTACTCAGTTGATTATTAATTTAGTTGGTTGTTGAACATGGAAATTAAATTTTAAAATTCTGTTATCTTCAGTATTCTATCTGTTGTGCTTATCATCTAGACATCTCTGTGATTTTGTTCTGCAAGAGCAGTGTAAAAAAAAAAAGTACTGTGATATCATTACATACAACTTTTCAATATTCTTTCAGTTATTTTAGCTGTCTTCCTCTGCACTGCTTCATGCAATATTTCTGCCTAATTAAAACTATTCCCTTTCAGGTTATTCCCTTTCAGTCTCACAGGCTGTTTTACAGAAATTAGTAGCTTCACCTTTTAAACGCGTTCCCTGGACATTCGCAAAGTGCAACAGAATTTATGTGCTGAGAATAGTTCCATTCTTCAGTTAGGCCTTAAGTTTGACCCTATAAAAACTTTTACTCAGGAAAGGACCAGGATTTCTCTCTTTAAATACTTCAGGAAAAACATAACTGTTTTGTTAAATAAACTTGGCCATTTGATAGCGTAAATTAGGGTGGTGATAAAATGTGGAAATTGTTCAAAGGCATCTTGTATAAATTATCACCTTGGCTACACTCCTCCAGGAGGTGGCTTTTATCTCCACTTTAACTAGAAATGAAAATTCTCCATTACTGCAGAAAAGGAAGGCTATCTTTTTAGGCCAGATTTAGCTAATAAATACTTTATAACTGTTTCCTGAACTATATTTGTGATCCTGCTGGAAACGCAATGTGGAAGAAGCTGTATTAGAAGAGCATGTTGGTAGCTTCAAATTGGGCTATTTGCATAATTCCAGTTTACAGAGTGTTGCTGCTCTAAGGCAAGTACTTGTATTTGGTATGTGCCTGATGTTGACACTTAACAGGCCTTTGGGACTCAGCAGCCGAAAGTAACAGCAAAAGTGCTCCTTTGAGCTGCAAGATTTAGAAAATTCTGTCAGAAAACGAGTGGCCCTTTACCTTCAGGAAACAGAGTTTCTTATACATGTTGTCTATCACAACAGTTGTCTAGCCTGTTATTTCTGTTTTGTCAGGACAAACTGATGAAAGAAAACAACTGAAGATAGCTAGTTACTAAAGGCATTTTGCCCAACGGATAAGAAGGACACAGTATTGCTTATATCCTTAGCAAAAAGGTGGTACAGCCATGCCTTGCACATGTCGGAAGCATGATTTTCTAACTCATGGGTAATGACTGGGAATCCTGTTTAAATAGAAGTTGCCTGTGGATCACCTGTCTTCTAATCAGAAACAGATCATCCCTGCGGCAATTAGAGCAACTGCTCTTAAGGAAGTGTCATACTAGGAAAATATTTAATGTCATTATAGCCAAAGAAGAAAACAAAACAGAGAGCCAGACTTATGGAATGGGGAAGTTGTTTGCATGCTGCCAGCACAGTGACTGTAGATGTCATGGATCAGGCCATAAGGCTCTCTCTAAAAAGCAAAACGAATGCCTTCAAAATAATCCTGAATTGTTACTGCTCCTTGTAGGTGTCTGGGGTAAAGTATCCAGAGAAATGTGAGACAAAATACAGCTTTCTATTCTGACACCATGGTGTTTTTGTTCTAAATAGAATGGGACTGGAAGCTTTGGTAGAGTCTTATGCCTTCTGGAGACCCTCACTGAGGACACTTACATTTGAAGACATACCTGGGATACCCAAACAAGGTAACAATCTTCTCTGTGTTCTTTCAGCACAAGAATGCGTGAAAATAAACCTCTGCCCATCTTTCCTTGTGAAAATCTAGGCTGGTGTGTTGCTTGCAGAAGAAAACAAACCAGCCAATCCCAGGGCAGGCCATCAGCTCTAATGGAAATTATTCTAAGTCACAAAACTAATGCTAATGTAATCGCTGTGGGAATAAAAATGTGAGGTTGTAAAGGCAAATCACACGTGGAGGAAAATGCGAGTTATTTAGGGACAGAATAAGGCCTTCCTCAGTGTTTTGCTAGAGCTAGATATACAAGGCAAAATTCATTTATGGGTAACTTTTACTGTGTACATCCAAACTCTAATGTAGGAATTAATTGTGTGTTTAAGGAAAAAAAAAGTGAAGAAACATCCTGTAAGCATTGACTAAATAGCAGCAAGCCTAATTGGGTTTTCTCCTTAGAAAGCTTCAATGAGTCTTAAAAAACTAAAAATTATTCAGTAAAAGTCCCTACAAACTTTGTCTGCATCCTAGAGTTTGAAAAAATGGACTTCTCCATTTTGCTTTCTCCTGATCCCCAGTCCACAGCCTCTTGCCTTCCACTTCCCCGTCATAGACATACTGCTGTGGGGGAAGAGAGGGCTATTTTAATCGCCTGTTTGGACAGAGGCATCTCTGTGCTGTTTGCCGTATTCCTGTATTTTTGAGGCGTCCTTGTGCATGTAGAAAACCTGTCAGCCTTTTTCCGAGTGCGCCGGACACCTTTCTCTTGAGTTTCACATTTCCTCCTGCCAAACTTAAAAACATCCCACCTGCTTTCTTGATAATATGTTGCTGAGTCATTAAGCAATCTTCAGAGGCATAGCATACACAGAAATCGCTTAACTTCTCCTTTGCCCACTCCCTTGAGAAATCTTGATCATCAGTGCTTGCAGGCAATTAGAAACAAGGTTTTGTGCTAAGTCACAGGTACGCTGGGTGAGTGTCGGCATAGTTTTTGGCGGGGGAGGAAATGGTCCTTGTAAAAAGGCCTATAATGAGAAGCCAGCATCAGACCTGAAATACCTTTTGAGAGTGCATAAGACTTAAAGGCAACTCATTCTTCCTCTTTGTGAAGGTTATCTGTCCAAGAGATAGACCAAATGTATTCCCCTGTTTTTGTATAGCAGCACTGTTGGAAAGCAAGGGAGTCACAGTCATAACCTTCCCATTTCCTTTCCTGCTGGTGCATGAAGTTAAGGAGTTTGTTAAAGTTGCTACTGTGTTCAAAGAATGGGGACTAAGATCCTGGCAAAATCTTTAATCTATAATGTACCCTGGCCAGTAGCGTGGTTTAGCGCTAACGAGACTTCCTGAAAGGCCCTTCTAGAAAATCATCCTGATTCTTAATGCTGGAATTGCCCATTTTCAGACAGTGGCGACGTTAACGTTGATTGGAAGAGACATAACTATGCTTTACGCTAGGATTTTGGTAGGTAGAGGTGCTTTGTGGTGTTTTGTGCCTGTTGTGGTCTGTGAGTAGAGCAAGAATAACAGGCAGAGTTCACTGATAAAAATATTTTTTTCTTTTTTCTATATTTTTCACGGGTCCTGAAATCCTGTTAGCTTATTGACAGTCTATGAATCTCTTTGTATCATCGAGCTGTTTTATTGTTAATGTGACTCACAGACAGGAGAGTCTTTCCTGCTAGGTGTCTTTGAGAGGCTGTGAAAGACTAAAATCGATTTTTTCTACATTCGTTTTCTGGGGAAATATAATCTGTAAGAAAAGGAAGCTCTTCTTGCAGCTGGGAAACTTTCAGAGTCTTGAGGAAAGACTTCACCTGTAGCAAGCAGTGCGTTTTTAGGAGCATTCAGCACTCGTATTTGTCATGTAAAAAGTTCTGATTTCAGCAAGTGAACAGTTCACTGCAAGCCTAAACCTCCACCTTCCCTTTAAGAAATGAAGCAGCAGTGCACAGTACTGAGCCTAGACTTTCCTGAAGTTGTTTTAACAAGAGGAGCCTCTGTCGTTTGAGGTAAAGAGCTGGTCCCTTGGCTGGCATGCTGATAACTGATAGGCGCAAAGAAAGTGTGTGTCATACAGAGCAAAGGGCTGTAAATGCGCTCCAGACTGTAGCAACAACGTAGATGACACAAAGTCTGTAGTTTTGCAGAAGGCTTGCTGTGATGTGATACTCATATAGTTATGTCCTAACCACTATGCAATTTGCTTCCAGTGTCAAAGAAAAGTAGTTAACCTCATGGGCGGGAGCTGTAAGTTTGGATGTATTGAATGATGGTTGCAGAAGCATAACTTGTGTTCTGTTCTTGAATAGGTTGTTTCTTTAAAAGTACACACGTGCACACACACACACATTGGCACACATGTACAGTATTTTTTGAATCTCTTTGCATCAAATATTTCCTGTCAGGAGTTTATTGTTAAATCATAAAGGTCTTGGTCTGTCACAGTCTAGGAAGTTAACCTTTCTCAACGTGCTTCTTTACGCTTTAATGTTCTCTTCCAGGAAATGCAGGTTCCTCTACTTTACTCCAGGGATCTGGCAGTGGAGTGCCATCTACCCACCCTCACCTCTTGCCGGGTTCCCCTTGCTCGTCTCCAGCCTTCCATCTCAGTCCCAACACTAGCCAGCTCTGTAGCCTTGCTCCGGCTGACTACACAGCTTGTGCCCGCTCAGGCTTGACCCTGAACAGATACAGCACTTCTTTGGCTGAAACCTACAACAGGCTCACAAACCAAACCAGTGAGACGTTTGCACCCCCAAGGACTCCCTCTTATGTTGGTGTGTCGAGTAGCACAACTGTGAATATGTCCATGAGTGGCAATGATGGGGATGCATTCAGCTGCCCACAAACTGGCTTATCTATGCAGATTTCAGGGATGTCTCCACAGCTCCAGTACATCATGCCATCCCCATCCAGCAATGCCTTTACCACTAATCAAACCCACCAAGGCTCCTACAACACGTTTAGACTGCACAGTCCCTGTGCACTGTATGGATATAACTTTTCCACATCCCCTAAACTGGCTGCCAGTCCTGAGAAAATTGTTTCTTCCCAAGGAAGTTTCTTGGGGTCCTCGCCAAGTGGAACCATGACGGATCGGCAGATGTTGCCCCCTGTGGAAGGAGTGCACTTACTTAGCAGTGGGGGGCAGCAGAATTTCTTTGACTCCAGGACCCTAGGAAGCTTAACACTCTCATCTTCTCAAGTGTCTGCACATATGGTTTGATGAAGCCTTTAAGTAGAAGTACAGTGTGTTTGGTGTCTACAATGTATTTCTTTTGGAATATGAAAGGACACTCAATGTAGCTTGTAAAGTGTGTGTATATATAATATGAGAGGAAGTTTCACTGAATTTTTGACTTGCTTGTGGCCAGATTATTCTCCTATTTTGAGTTGCGCAGAGTTTGTTGTGGCGCGGACTGCTTTAGTTTTCTGGTATAATACACTTAGTTGTATAACACGTTGGGACATATGAAACAAATTAAGTAAGACTTCCTCCCCTTTTCCCCTTCCTCTGTTCTAACCCTTTTAAAGAATGAAATGACACTTAGAGTATTAAACAACACAAACAAGCCCACTTACATTTCCTGTAGTACTAGTGAGTTTCTTTAAAACATTCATACAATGATAAGCTGATGCACCGAAGACATTTTACAAGTTTATTCTGTTATAAGGGATATGAAGGGTATTTGAACTTAAAGCGTTAAGCATCAAGCATCCAGCCTAAAACAGAAGCTTAGCTAATGGATTATTTATACAAAGTGAACGGAAAGATTAGTTTGCCTTCTTATGATATGCTGTTTCTAACTTAGCAGCAGCATGGCATTCTTACTAGGATTTTTTTCAGTGTTAGTCTAGGTTTATGATTAGGTGTTTAAAGACAGCATTTAAAGACAAATATAATGCAGATTCAAAGTGTGGTGATATGCATAATTTAAACCAACAGCAGAGGAAGCAGCATTCCGTGGTACAGAATGAACTTTGGGGTGCTTCATTTTGCCAAAAGAAGGGCTTGATGCATTTTTTTTTCACCATAAATATTGCCTATAAGACATTTACTGGACGGTAGGATATTCTAATGTATCTTTGTTTTTGTATTTTTGCTTTTTTAAAGGAAAATGCAGTTTTGATTAAAAAAAGAAAAAGTGAGCAGGATGAGAAATTCCGTTATCAGTTTTACCCTTTTGTGTGTGTTGTGTTTTGGGGTGTTTTTTTAATAAGGGCAAAATGTCCTCCATCCTCAGAATCTCAGAAATAAATTGCTTGTACCAGCTAGGCAGATAACCCAGTTTGCCCGCAAACTGTTGCTGGAAGCAGAACTTTGTAGTAGCTGCCTCCCTGTAACTTGGCCAGATTGGGACCAGGATTACAATAGGCCAAATTCCCATAATGGTTTACTTTGAATGCTACAGCATGATACCTGCAGCCTATTTCCCTCCCTCCAGGGAGCCTTCTGTCTTCCTTTCTTGTTCCTTTCTGTCATGAGGTTACTACTGCTCTGTTTCTCAAACAGTCTTTGCCGTGGATTTTAAGTAGTTCACTTCCTTCCCATCTCTGGTTTTAACCAGTGTTCATAAAAGCACAGATCAAAATCCATTCCTCACCAGGCTCCTCCAGAATGACAAGGGCTTGGGGAGATACTTGTGTCACAGGGAAGCTTGTGCTCTTGTCTATGCCTGCACAGCCCCTGCGCGCCTCAGTCCTGCTGTGAAAGCTGCCAGTCAGCTGCCCACCTGTCAGAGCGTTAAATGTGGAGGTTATGGGACGCGTTTTAATGCTTGAGAGAATAGTTCTTCTTCTACATTACACTAAGCCTCCTTTGTATTATGCAGGTGGTTTAAAGGCATCTTAAAGTGGGTGCAAATGTGATTGAAAATGCTTCCCTGGCCAGCACTGTGGAAAGGAGAATAAGGCCTTCAAAGTTTACATTTTCCTCTGTCAGATTTCAGTAAAAGTAGTTCGTTATGTTTCTCGAAAGTTCCTATGTGTTTTCTGGCAAAGAGTGACTTAATCACTCCCACTTTTAAGAAAAACTCATTGCAACTAATATTTCTTCATTGGGCTAGAGATAATGGGTAGAGGAACAGACCCTTCTCTCTCTCTTCTTACTACTTGGAAAGAGGAAAGAAACCACAATACTACTTAATTAAGCTCTTGCCCAGAGAATGCTTTATTTATATTAGTTATTTATATGTTTATGTTAAGGAAGATGCCAATTTATGAAGTTCTCATTCAGAGCTGGAAAGACTAGAGGATGAATCTGTAGTTTAGAATCTGTGGTTTTGTTTCTCTGCTCTGTCACAAACTACCCGAGTGACACTGGGTACTTCACTTAGCCTCTCTGCATTTGAATTTCTTTCAACTGTAAAATGGAATAGCACTTTGCTGCCTCACAGTATGCTAAAGATGCAAGGGTATTTAGACAGTGTTCATATATGAGGGTAACAAAGCATTTATGTATTTTGGATCTGTTGCTGGTTTTGGTGTTTTAGTTTCCTTTGAGTCAGATCTCCAAGCAAAGACTTCCAATGCTAAAACACTGCTCAAAAACCCAAAACTAATAATTTGTAAAATGATTTTAAAATGTGCAGAAGATGGGCAATTTTTCAGCTATGTAAATTGCCATAGCTGCATTGATTTACTTAGCAAGGCGCATGCGTAGTAATTTCTGCTCTAGCCCAAACTTTGAAATGTTGCCATTGGACAAAGCTGTAAATGGAGGCAGCGGTGCAATTAGTCTGCACTTGAAAAAGGGTAAGCAAGACAATTCTCCATGTTATCTTAAGGGGCTGTGGCTGGGTAGAAATATGGAAGAGCTAAATCACGCATATTCCTACAAGGGAAAAACAAAGGTTTATGCATGGAGGTGCTCCTGGTAATACTATGTTCTTTGTCACCTGGGATTTTTTTAGTACTGGTCTCCTATTTTTCCTCAAATTACTCTTATCATTGTAACCGCACAATATTGTTTGAAACATTTGTTCCTTAAAATTTGAGTCATATTGTAAATACTTGTTGGTGTGTCATTGTGAAAAGACTAGCTTTTTATCAACATAGTAAATGCTATATATGCGTTATATCTATAATTATATATCTGTATTTTACAAAAATGCCACAGAAAATATATTAAAGTGTGTATCTAAACACTTTTTACTACCTTTGGAAAATTAAGGGGCTTGGGCCTTTTTTTTGTCTACAGCTTCCACAAAAACAAATAACTCTAAAGTGAGCTCTGAAATTCAAAGACGTAATAAGCTGCAAGGATCCAACTAGTCCACAATTCTTACACATTTCCATTTAACTTTATCGTGTTGAACTGTCATTTGTGTGTGAAGGCCATGAGAGATGTTGCGCATAAGGATATTCAGGGCCTGATAGCAGAGCTGTGAGGGCTGTATTTGGGAAGCAGAGAACAAGGAGCTTGCAAGGCCAACCAGCCACGGATGGAACCTTGCTGGTGCTTCATACTCAAGCTCATCCCAGCTACCACGACAAGTTCAGCTGCCCATTTTCAGCCAGATCTGAGAAATTAACACTTACGTGTGATCAGGTGCTCCAGGGAGAGCTTTGATGATACCCTGTACATTTTCGCTCTGTGCTCTTTGGCTGTTCGTTTTAGGGCTCAGGGCCTGCAAATATAATTACATTGAAATGATAGTGTTTCATATTCACTTAACACCAGCATTGTTGCAGATGACCAGAATTAGGATAAGAGAAGTAGGTTTGAAATGATCAGTCATAAATATCAGGCCAGATTCTGCTCTGGAGAGTGGAAACTCCTGATTTTAATAAGAGAAGAGCCTCTCTTTATAGTGGTACGATCAGACTCTTGAGAAGTCAAATGTCCTGCTTGAACAGAGGAACAGGAGCAACTTTAAGATCACAGACAGTGTTGGCATTCATGCTAGCAAGTCTATACTGTGAGCAGTTCAACAATGGAAACTTAAGTCATCATGAGAAGTAGCCCACAGGTTCTGTGGTCGTATTTTTTGTATTAACATAGTAGACCTAATTAGTCCATATAGAAGTATGTTTAAAAACAGCTGCAGAGTAGCTACTTTTAGAGACTTATGTACAAACTTCACATATGAAATTATTATTTGCTGCACTCCTCTCAATATGCTCTCAAACTCTCATGGCGTGATTGTTTAAGTTTACTCTTTACGTTTAATATCAGTAACTACAATTTATCATAAAGAGGTAACTGCTGATGCTTGTAGGCTAACTTTCCACCTCTGCTGAACAAATGTATGGATTTGTCAATTGAATGCTTTGTTAATATGATCCTCGGACACAACATTTCTTTTTGTGCTTAACATAAAGTAGTTGATATGTGAATTTAATTTATGCCAAACTACAGTAACAATTCTGCTTTATTTTCCACCATATTCCTTGGTTACCCAGCTAATTCAAAACACTGTCATGCCAAGATGGCATACTCTTTTAACACGTGGTGTCATACTTCATTAGGGAATAAAATCTCTACAGGATTCGACTTGCTCTAAAGGCTCTTTATCAGTGTTATATTCATGCGCTAAAAAGGTATTTGTTAACCAAAAAGGGAAAAGTCATATGCAGTCACCTCTTATTCTTGCACAGCAGTACTGAATTGTCCATAAAACCATCTCAGATACTTTGGTGCCCTAGACTCCAGAACAGAGGAGTTCTAGGACATGAGATATATAATCTTCTGAACTTGCTTGGAGAAATGCAGGGACCTGAGTAAGTGACAGTTTCTATCCGCTTTTTAATATGGAACCTGAGCCCTCTTGATCTAAAAGGGCTAAAGTCTAAGCTTTGTGTTAGACTTTTCTAGGTCTTTCCTTGCCAGACAAAACCTGCTGCAGACTGACCAAAAGCCTGTCCTTATTTGAAAGGTAGTCCCTGTTCCAGTCTGCCCCCTTCATTAGGCTTTCTCTGCTTGCAGAAGCATGAGAGTTTGCAGGTGAAGATGTTCATACTTGTGCCACTTAATAGTTATTACCCCAAAGTGTGATTTTACAGTAAGGACTCATGGCCCACATTGAAGCAAGCAATTTACTAAATGTCAGCCATGATGGTCTGGCTTCAAAGAGCGGCAGAACCTGAGGAAATTAAGCAATAGTCTGTGAGCAAACTGGCAACATTTTGAGAGTACTTGAAGGATTACAGTTCTGTGAATTTGTCTAAAATTTAGAATTTGAAGTCTGGAAACTAAGCACTCACCTTTTAAGGAAGAAAGCAAATTGGTACTCATATCAGTGAATACTCTACAAATAGAAATGTTCTCATGGAATTTATTTGCCTGTCACCTTCTGATGAGAGGTTTATAACCATAACTTGTTGATACTTCTTCACATTCTCCGCTGTACCAGAATGAACACTGAACCTCCAAGAGCTCAACATTTCAGCAAATTTCTCCTTTGTTGGCATTTCTAAATGTTGGAGATAATGCGCACATTTCAAGACAAGCACCTGGGCTTCAGTTTTGCAGCAGAGAATAGCAGGTAAAATTGAGGGATGGACCCTACAGTCTTACCATATACTTTCAAAACAAATTGCCTTTAATGTAAGGCACATGTGTGCTGTGACAGCACCCACAGTGTAGTGTAGAGGTCTGTCCAAATATATCTCGATGCACCTCTCACAGGAGTCCAAAGCCTAAAATGAGAACTGACAGCAAAGGCTAGCCAAGAAGGATAAAGCTATTGCAGCAAACGTTAAGTGTGGCCACAGCACAAACTTAAGTTTATGTCAACACTACAGCCATTTGAATTTGCTATGTCCTGATGTTCATTTGCACACCACTAGGTTTTATTTCCATGCTATAATATAGGGCCAATAGTAAATTTAGAGCATATTGGAGGAAATCTGGGCTCTACTGTGGCCAGTGGTAGTGTTGCCACTGACTTGAGAGAGATTTCGTCTATTACGCTTTATGGATAACACATTTTCAAACCCTAAGCAACCCCACTTTCTGTTGCTAAGTGCTTTACTCGTGCAGCAGCTGCAGTCATACTGTTTTCAGCAGGGAAATTCTTCTGGCCTTTTGAGGTGTTTTTCAGGTGGGTAATGGGCTTTATGCATTTCACATGCTCGTATTTTGTTTTTAAATTTGCGCTCTTGCAGTTTTTGAGCCACAGTCCGGCTAATGCTGAAAGGTAAGACAAATGTGGAAGTCAGGGCTCCCTCCCCACCGAAAGCATTGCCAATAGATGGTGCGTTCACTTCTACTGCAGATAATGGACTATATATTTCCCACAATGTTTTTATTGTATTTTACAGAGAAAAGTAATAAAAACAGAGGCTGTATCACAATCAAAGCAGTGTTTCCATTCCTCGGGCAATATTTTTCACTAACCCAAAGGAAAACACCTCCCCACCCTTTCCTGGTTACTCTGCTTAGTGCATAGCTCTCAGTAAGAAGAAAACCAGATGCCACTTCCATATGTAACATGGCAGAAAACAGAAAGCCAGAACAATGGGTCCCAACTCATGGAAGTGCTCCACAACAGTCTTTGTATTCTTTGAAGTACAGTATAGACATGAGCGTTTCTAGAAACATCTGCAAAGACCCTTTGATATATTGTCGAGTAGGTAACTATTTGGTAGGTTTGTGTGTGCATGCGTGTGTGTGTATGATAAACACCTTGTTTAAATAATGTACAGTGTGAATCACCTGCTCCATACTCGGGAAGGGAATTGTCCATGCCACAAAAAGATGTGTGAGCACATACCATTTATGTGGCCCTAATAACAGCACAAGTGTAGCTTCACGAGTGTTAAGCAGACCTCAAAGCTATGTTAACAGACTAGTTCTCAGGGAGGACTAGTTACATGCCAAGCCCATGTAATCCAGTCATCCTTTTGGTGGCAATTAAGTAACATCTTACAATGAACATAAGCAATTAATCTAAGCAGGCATTCATTTCACTTCGCTATAACTGAAAAGGATACATTAATTTCCTCAGCATTTCAGGAAGGGAAGAGGAATGAATGTCTGGGAGCTTTAAGACTGAATGTTTCAGCCCCATAGGAATTAATTTTGTGGGAAGAGGGGAGCCTCCAAAAACAAAGTTGATGTATAAACAAAGAAGCTTTAAATTTGGCAATATACCACAACAAATGTCTTAAGAAATGGTCTATCTGGTGTCACATCCTTGCATTCAGCAGAGAACAGAATTACAACATTAAGGAGAGAAGTGGACCATGTAGATCGATACCTTTAACTTATGATGTGTTGGGTAGAAGGAAGGCCTTTCCTTGGTAAGTTAAAAGGCTGAACTACTTAAAATAACCCAGGGTTGAATGTGTGCCCTTTTTAAGTCTTCAACATTCTTTTTTTTTTTTTTTTTTTGAAATATTTAGTAAAGATCAGATGATGCTTAAAAATTCCCAGCCAGATGTGTCTCCAAACTTTCCCAGAGATGAAGCATATTCAAATATAGTTTGATTTCAACCGGTTATATAGATAAGTTTGTTTTATAGCTGGCTGCAGCTGTGAAGTTTGGATTCAGATCTGTAACTCTCTAAACTTTGAAGACTATAGTCAAATCTGTGGTTTTGGATTTCCAGTTGCTTGTTGTATCACACTGTCATTCACATCTGTTTCACTGACAGCTCAGTGCAAAACTCTACTAGTTTCAGAGTCCGCAAAGCTGAATCTCAGAAAAGCTATTTCTCAAGCACGCTGTTCCATACGAGCAGCGATAGCAGCATATTGCAGGTCTCCAGGTTAACAATTCTTTACATGGCATCTGAGGGCCATTGGTGACCCACCGCAGAGCGCTGGCTGGTAGGTCACAGGCTGTTGGCGCTGGTGTTGCAACGTGTGCTTTAAATACTTCCTTCATATTATGTTTCTCTGTAAGCAGTTGCTGTAGCTTTCCACAGGGCTATTACATGATCCTGCGTAGAAGGAGAGAGGGTTAGCGTAATTGCAAATGGGATGAAAGCAGGTCCTTGAGGCACTCTCTGAGATCTTACCTATATGGAGTGGTTGCTGTGAAGTAAACTAGGAAGTGCATTTACAACACCTCAGCTCCACAGGTGGGCACTCTTAACATGCAGTAAGCAAGAGGGAAGGTACTCCATATTGCAAATAGAGTGAACTAGTCTGCACAACGGATGTTCCTGGGAGGCTAAAGTGCTGTAAGGCTGAGGTCCTGCAGTCTTCCTCTCTTGTTTATTCTGCAGACAGACCTTAAGATTTCAGCCACATTTTAGAAAGTAATAGCCCACAAATGTCTGTCTGTGAGAGTGTCATTGGTTGTCACCATGGCATGGACTGCTTCACCAACTGTAGTGACAGAACCACCCATGGTAAACCCTGGACAACTCTTCTGACCTGTTAATAGTTGGCAGAGTATTTGATGACAGTTGCAAGAATCTGATGCACAGCAGTATCCTTTACAGCAGTTTAATCTTTGTCATCAAATCCCCCAACAGCCATGATTAATAGCAGCACTTGAGCTTGTTTTGAAAGTTGTATATTTGGCAGCTATGAACTTTGATCTGTGGTTTCGCTTTAAAGAATCGTTATGACACAAACTTTTCCTGTAATCCTTCCATCTAATTAAACCACACACAAATACTATGTGGGGAAATATGATGCTATTGATATAAGCTGTGTGTTTATTACAATATTTTAGGCACTTTATTAAAGTGGATAGTTGTTCCCAGCGAGATAGCAGATAAGCTCCCTAAAAACAATAACATCACTCAGAAAGAATATATAAGAGAATTTCCCAAGGCCAAATTCGATTAGAAACTTTCTTTGTTGATTAGTGCTGTGCCCTTGATCCCATTAAGGGCTTAGATGTTTTAACCTGAGCTAAAATTACTAGCGTTTAATGAATCCAGCCTACTAGTGTGCACTTTTCCACAAAAAGATTGCCTTTGTTCCAGATAGTCAGAAGATTTCAATATCTAACAAGATATTATCTGTATTCTAGTAATAGATTGTTCAGTACTTGGGTGCAATTTAATGGGAAGGTTTTCAAAGATCTAGGAAAACTTGTGATATTTTAAATCATGAAACATCCAACTGCATGTACTTGAATCAACCCTAAACCAGACATTCCTTGCTGGTCTCTATCCTGCTCATGTGGCGAGATTCCCATCAGGTGGAAAAAGCTCATGTTTTCAAGCCTAGAATATGGAACGGGTTGCTGGGAGAGGCTGTGGAGTATCCATCCTTGGAGATGTTCACAAGCCATCTGGATAGGGTCCTGGGCAACCTGCTCTAGGTGACCCTGCTTTAGCAGGGCAATTGGACTAGATGATCTCTAATGGTTCCTTCTAACCTTAACCATTCTGCCATTCTGTGATTCTATGAATACAAACTGTGGATGAGAGTATAAGCAATGATGGCTGTTAGGGCTGAGGGTGCAGGGTTGCATAGCCCAGACTGAAATGACTTGATTTGGGACTGCATTTTTCAGTACCCTGGCATTTGTGCAGAATAGGGATCTTTCCCCTAGGGCAGG